CCCTGGAGGTTGGGAGTGAGTAGGGCTGAAAGTCTTCTATCCTGTCGTGGTCTTTTTGGTGACCATCTCCCACACTGAAGCTACCCAGGGGCTGCCAACCATCAATCAACTCATTAGCACACAGAAAGACACCTTATTTTGGCAATTCCAGCAGTTTTAGACCGGAAATGGGACAAAGACGAAATTTATATTTTATAATATTGCTGTCTACCCCCATCTTTGTACACAGATTTTTTTTTCCTTTTTTTAAAATAAAATAATTTCCTTTAGTTTTATTTATTATTATTATTATTGTTATTAAATTTGACCAAAGAGAGACAGAGAGAGAGAGGGAGAGTGAGAAAGCAAGCTATTAGATCTGGGACTCAAACCATGGTCGGCCATATGGGAGTCCAGTGCCTTACCCATCACACCAACTGCAGGCCCCTATACATGGATTTCTTATGTCAAAGGGGTATACAACTCTGGGGTCAGACAATGGCACAGCACTGATGCAACTGGACTCACATTGGAGGTTCTCTAGTTCACGTCCTAGGTTCGCATTTGAGCCTCCCTATGCATGCCATGCAGGCATGCGCCTACAATTCTGATAGGCTAAGGCTGGGGGTGGATTGTGGCATGAGGACTCTCTCGATATTTCTCTCTTTCTCATATGTAAAGGAAATAAATAAACATTTTTTGGGGGGTGAGGAGGGGAGATGTTTTGGTTAGAGGGCCTGTGTGCTCACCAGAAAGAGAGAGACAGAGAGACAGAAAGCTAGAAATCATCCCGCTGGGGGAGGATGGTCACACCGCAATCCCTTCTCCTCCATTCTCCTCTCGGGATCTTGGGCATGCACGCACACGCGCCGGGCATGAGTTTTAAGTCACCAGGTCTGGGACACGAACCGCAGTCAACTATGTGGGAGTCCCGCGACATAGCCATTACACTAACTGCTGGTTCCCAATCTGACGCTTTTTTAACCTCCTTCAAGTATGGTGGCATCCTTCCAAATAGGATGCTGTCCGTTAACTGCCGTCAACATCTCAAGAAGTGGTTTGTTGGTCATTTGAGAACTGTTTGTAAAACACTGCCCGGGTGTCCACAGAATCCAGCAGCTCCACAGAGTTCCAGAGTCCATCTTGGGGGAAAGTGGCTTCCTGCTGGGAAAGCCTCCTTGCGTTCCTCACGTGGCACTTTCCTTATAAGGCATCTCTATTTAAATGTACATGTTATTATTATTATTATTTAAATTTGCTACAGGGCACATGCACTCACCAGAGAGATAAAGACAGAAAGGGAAAGTGAGAAAGCAAGCCACCAGGTGCGAGACCTGAACCATGGTTGGCCATGTGCGAGTCCAGTCCCCCAGCCCTCACACCCCCTCCCGGTGCCAAGTCATCTCCATTTTACTGTGGAATTCTTCTGGCCACATCACCCAAGACATCATGGGCATTTCAGGTTTCCAAATTCCGTATGTCCTTCTGTCACAAGGTAGGCTCAAGTAGTATCTGATTGCAAAATAGTATGAGTGAATGTGCTCCCGTGGGAGTTCTCCAGTGCAAGGTCTCCGTCAGCACCATGCCTCTGTCTGAGAGAACTGTCCATGCCAGCACTCCGGCTTCTCTGCATCTTACTGGTTCAAACAGCATTGCTCAAAGGGCAGGTTTACGTGCCTCACTTCACAGTGCTAGGTAGGAGACGTGTTCCCCGGCAGGCAGAATGCTCATCCAGGTACCGCATTTAGGTAAAGGACACAAGGCTTCTTTACATTAAGCCTGTTTCACTTTATGACTTTAATAATCTCGTACCCTTACCTCTTTAATGTTCTCTCAGTTTAACTGTGCCTGCGTCAGGGCTTGGCTGGTGGCTCTGGGTACCACCGTGTGGGGCCCCTCCCTGTACCAAGGAGTCCCTGAATGTCTCCTTAGCACACTGTCGTCATTTTACCCACTTCTGTGCATAGGGAAACTGAGCAGCAAGCCTCAGGGGGCTTTCTAAACTGTTTTTCTACAGTCAGGTTATGGGGTGGTGAGCACATTAAAGGGACACCCTTAGCCACAGTGTTTTCCGTGACCTGAGTAATGGATAGATTCAGCGGGTGAATTACCTTGGTTATTACAAACCCAGTCCTGGGGCCGGCAGGTGGTGTAGTGATTATGTCACTGGACTCCCACATAGCTGACCACAGCCTGAGGTCCAGACCGGTGGCTTGAAAATCATGCCAGGTGTGCATGTGTATGTGTGTGTGTGCTGAAGATTCCAGGAAGAGAATAGAGGAGAAAGGATTGTGGTATGGCCAACCCCCCACCACTGGGGGGAGGGGTGATTTATCATTTCTCACTTTCCTTCTCACTGTCTCTCTCTCTCTGTACCCTAAGGCAAACAATTCCAAAAACCAAACCAAAACAAAAAAGTCCTATAATGGCTTGCATCTGAAGCATATGAGGTATTGACATAGGATGGGAGTGTAGAGCTACGTTGTATAAAACCCTTGGTTCTTTGGGTCCAGACCACTAAAATTAGAGACTTGTCCCTAGGTGCAAAATAAAGCCACAACCACAATGTAAGTATGGAAAAAAAAAGGAGAGAGAGAATTTAATAGGGAAAAAAGATTTTAGAAAAGAAGTAAACCCGAAAGACTTTTGGGCAGGCAAGCTGCTAGGTAGCAACTGAGTTTGGAACTGGTTTGGGTGTCATTTTTATTACCAGAGGTGATAATGAATATTTAACACTGGGAGGTCTGTCACACTATGATGCTCTTTAAATTCCTGGGCTTCTTCCTGCTCTCTCACAGGTGAAGAGTTTGAGGAATTTGAATACGTAACTGCGCATGCCCAGTGTGAGCCACAATGATAGCATCCTTATTAGGATGAACTGCCCAATTAGTTTATCTCCCCAGTGGGAATCAGGACATTGACCAAAATGTCTGGTTGGGTCTTTTTGTATTTATGAGGAATGATAAGAGGGAAATTTACAGTCATCCCTATGTGTCTTCCTCAGGTACCAAGGAAGAAAAATGGTATTTGTCTCGCCTTCCCGGCACCAGGAGCTGAGTGGGAAGAAGGCGTTTTCATGGAGGGTCTGGTTGTAACTCCTGAGATGTTGTGATTGGTGTGACCTGTGTCCTTCTGCTATTTTTTAGGGCTGTGGCTCATTATGAGCTACCTGCCTACCACAGTATTTCACCTGGGGCATTCCACGTGGCATTTATAAGTCAACTTGGACAGTCCCTCTTCTCAGGGCCAACATATAGCAGCTATTACAGTGGCTTTTATGCAGTCCTCCATGCTGTCTAGGCCCTTGGGAATAGCTTCCCCTGTGTCTGGATCATGTATAGCCATCTGGGACTGTCCAATAGTGAGCTGTGGGTTCCTGTATCAATCCAGACATACTCTTTTACTTTTTACTTTGTAGCATTTGAAACTAAATACATGGCTCTTAAAGCAGTTACTCTTACAATCTACTTTAGTGAAGGTTCCTAAGGCTGAGACCTAGCTACAAAATGAAACAATCCCTTCACACTGTACTTTCTGGTTTCAATAGTTTCCTGGTTTTGCCCTTATCCCTCATTGACTAGCTCCTTGGGAACAACGGGTCTTCAAGGTACCTGCTGCTGTCCCTGCAGATTTTCCTGAGCCAGAGTAGGGCAGCTTTGAGGCTAGTGGCCAAAGCTCAGACTTAAACTCAGACCAGTGGAGCGTGGTCTAGCACCAAAGTCTAATCCAGCACTCTTTTTTTATTTTTGGAGAGGTTTTTGCTATAGGGTCCGTGCACTCGCCAGAAAGACAGAGAGAGACAGAGAGACAGAAAGCGAGAAATCACCTCCCGGGGGGATGGCCATGCTGCAATCTCTTCTCCTCCATGAGCCCGGTGTGAGTTTAAGACACCGGGTCTGGGACTCAAATTGCAGTCAACTACATGGGAGTCCAGTGACATAGCCATTCCATCAGCTGCTGGTCCCGTAATCCAACACTCTTTTAATTTCATTTTAGGAATTACAGCTATCAATAACCAAATAACTGAATATTTTATTTTTAAGAATTATTTAATTTTATTCCTTGTTATTATTATTATTTTTTCAATTTGACCACAGAGCAGCACAGAGAGAGGGGGAAATTGAGAAAGCAAGCCACTGAGTCCAGGACTTGAACCGCAGTCAGCCATGTGGAAGTCTGGTGTGTCAACCACTGCGCCATCTGCTGGTCTGAATATTTCTCTTTTTTTTTCTTATTAGTTTGTGTACCTTGTGCATCTTGTGAACCAGCCCCAGAAACTAGATCCACCTCTAAATTCCACTGGTGACTTTTTAACCTTCGTAACAGAGATGGTATAGCTGCTCCTCCATGCCATGGGGGACCAGCGGGCTGCCCAGAAATCACAGGTCCCTTACCCCCCAACCTCCCCTTATCCTTTCTCTTCTCAAACCACATACTTATATGAACTCAAGCCAGCCTGGCAAATCCCACTTTAAAAATTTATTATAGTTTGATATAGTGCCCATCTAGATAGAGAGAGAAATCACCTTTCCACCTCCCATGGATAGTGACACTATAACGGCCCTCCTCCATTCTCCTCTTAGATCTTGGACATGCATGCACATGTGCCCAGTGTGAATTTTAAGCTGCTGAGTCCGGGACTCAAACCACACAGTTGACCATGTACGATCCAGCTGTCTCAACCTCCACACTCTCTAGCTGGCTCAAAATCCCACTTTTTATACTAATTTTATAGAAAAGGCAAATTCTTTTTCTTCTACTCTCACACCACAAGAGACACAGACTTCAGTCACAAGAAGTGCGTAAAGAAGGTGAGCAGGTGGCATGGTGGCTAAGGTATTGGATTCCCACATGGCCGATAGTCCGTTAGTCCTGGACTCAGTGGCTTGATAAATCACAACAAATAAATAAGTAAACGTCAGAAGAAGTGGAGAGAAACATCCAATGGATCAATTTTCCAGATTCTGTAGTAAATTCAATCTGGATGTGCTGTAGTTCAATTCTGAGATTATCTACCTTACCTGGAGATCCCAGATGTCACAGACTGAGGGTCCAGATGCACAAACTGCCCCAACTTCAGACGTCAGCCACCAACCTAGGTAGTTTCAGCTACATCTCGGACTCTTCAGACACGGCCGCATGCCTAGCTGTTTAGAAGCTTTGCAGACTTGTCCTTCCGTGTGTGTTTACTTCTGTTGGAGGGCACATGTACTCACTGTAGAGAGATAGAGACAGAGACAGAGAGAGAGAGAGATGAAGCACTCCCATGGGGAATGGTTGTGCTACAACCCCTTTTCCTCCATTTCTTTCTCCTTTCAGGATTCTGGGTGCTCTCACATGCACACGCATGCACGCACACACACACACACACACATGCACGCACATACAGTGTGTTTTTCAAGTCACTGGGCCAGGGATTCCAACTGCATGGTCTGCCATGTGTGTTCAAGTTGCTTTAATCATCATGCCATGGACTGGCCCGTTTTGGGTTTTTATGGAGGTTTCATTACATAGGCATGGTTAAGTCATTGGCTATTGGCGACCACCTTAACCCTCAGTCCCTCTCCCTGCCAGGAGGGGAGACCTGTAACTTCCAACCATTTCTTTTTGCCTTGGTCTTTTGGGTGACCACCCCTCATCCTGAAGCTGCCTAGGTAACTGCCAGCCACCAGGCAACTCATTAGCCTACAAAAAGATATTTACTGCTTTGGAGATTCCAAGGATTTTAAAATGTGTATTGCAGAAAGTGGGGACCAAAACAAATATATAGTTACCAATATTGCATTGCATTTCCTGCTATCTGGGCTCAATCTAACCATGAAGGGGAAAGAAATGGCTTTCTCCACTGAAATCCAGGAAACAGCAGAGCTTTGGGAAGCACAAGTTAAGGTAGCAAACACTTTTTGGCTGTCCACCATGGTCCCCTTTTCTTGGGCTAGGGAATACTGTTTCTTCTGTCCTATACTATGCTCCTCTGATCACTCTCGCCACACCACTCAGCTGCTCCACTCTCTCCTTTTTTCCCCCCTCCGGCAAAAAAGGGAGGAGAAAGTCAAGAGAAGCTGTGAGGTTCACTGGGAGAAGGGAAAGACCACACTTCTCAGGTACCTATGCTAAGTTCCCTCTTTTAGAACGATGCACCCAAGGCCAACTGGTGGCACAGTGGGAATAGAACTCAGGCTTCTTGACTTTCGGGGTTGGGGGGGCTAGAATGAAGGACTTCTTTTTAAAATTATTTAACTGTATTATTATTATTATTTTACAATTTGCTATAGGGCATGCACACTCACCAGAGAAAGGCAGAGAAAGAGATGGAAAGAGAGCAAGCAGCCAGGTTTGGGACTCAAACCACAGTCAGCCATGTGGGAAATCCAGCACCCTAACCACCCTGCCACCTGCCAGCTCCAGAATGAAGGATGTTTGATTATTTTTATTGGGTGATGTGGAGTAGCCATCACTGCTTTTAATAGCCTTAACTACCTTCTTGCCTGCTGGGTAGTCTTCCTTTCTGATCTTCCAAAGAAATGGAGAAAAACTGATTAACCTAGCTACTCCATAGTGCTCTGTTCCTTGGGAAAAAACACACTATGTCCATCACTCAAAGGAATTATTTTCATATCTTCTGTCATTTTCGTTATTTTACCCACAGGGAACACATTGAAACTAAGAACACACTTGAATAGATTTACTGAAATATTACTTGTTTGTCTGTTTAACTACAACCTGGTTTTGTTCACCCTAATCAGTCTTAAGAGAAATAACCTGAGGGAACAGATGGCATAATAGTTACATCATTGGACTCCCATGTAGTCAACTGCTGTTCGAGTCCCAGATCCAGTGACTTAAACTCATGGCAGGTGCATATGTGCGTGTGCTCAAAATCCTGAGAGAAGAAGGGATTGCAGTGTGGCCATTCCTCCTGGGGGGTAATTTCTCACTTTCTGTCTCTCTCTGTTTCTCCAGTGAGTTCATGCACCCTATAGCAAAACTCTCTTTAAAAAACAAAACCAGCCATTACCCTAATGGTTAAGGGAGTTGGAACCCACATGTCTGACTACAATTCAAATTTCAACCCCAGTGTTTTGAAAACATGCTGGGCACATGTGTGAGCATGCTTCAGATCCCAACGGGATGGAGAAGTGGAGCAGGGTGGGACTGCAGTGTGACCATATTACCCTGGAGGAAGCTTTCTCCTCTCTCTCTCTCTGGCCAGCACAAATGCCCTCTGGGAATGAAAAAATAAGCAAACGACTACCTTCTAACTGTCTTATGTCCGGAGCGGTATGTCACAGGCCTGCTACCCCACCCCCATGTTTTGTTTTTGGCGGTGTTTTCGAATGATGGCCTGGCCTACGAAAGACAGACCTAGTATATTTGCCTGCAGAGGGCTGAGTGACATCAGGTTGGCTCCAGCTGCAGAAAGAGCCATTGGAGCTGTGTGGCTCTAGTCAGCCAATTAGAATCCTGGCAGTGGCACTCCTTATCTGCCATGAAGGGGAAAGAAATGGCTTTCTCCACTGAAATCCAGGAAACAGCAGAGCTTTGGGAAGCACAAGTTAAGGTAGCAAACACTTTTTGGCTGTCCACCATGGTCCCCTTTTCTTGGGCTAGGGAATACTGTTTCTTCTGTCCTATACTATGCTCCTCTGATCACTCTCGCCACACCACTCAGCTGCTCCACTCTCTCCTTTTTTCCCCCCTCCGGCAAAAAAGGGAGGAGAAAGTCAAGAGAAGCTGTGAGGTTCACTGGGAGAAGGGAAAGACCACACTTCTCAGGTACCTATGCTAAGTTCCCTCTTTTAGAGGCATGAGGGACAGAGAGGGCTGAATTCTGTTTATGTGAGAGGTGGACGGGACCACACACTCTACTTACTACCCATTTTATAGCTGGTAACACTGAGGCTTAACGATGCACCCAAGGCCAACTGGTGGCACAGTGGGAATAGAACTCAGGCTTCTTGACTTTCGGGGTTGGGGGGGCTAGAATGAAGGACTTCTTTTTAAAATTATTTAACTGTATTATTATTATTATTTTACAATTTGCTATAGGGCATGCACACTCACCAGAGAAAGGCAGAGAAAGAGATGGAAAGAGAGCAAGCAGCCAGGTTTGGGACTCAAACCACAGTCAGCCATGTGGGAAATCCAGCACCCTAACCACCCTGCCACCTGCCAGCTCCAGAATGAAGGATGTTTGATTATTTTTATTGGGTGATGTGGAGTAGCCATCACTGCTTTTAATAGCCTTAACTACCTTCTTGCCTGCTGGGTAGTCTTCCTTTCTGATCTTCCAAAGAAATGGAGAAAAACTGATTAACCTAGCTACTCCATAGTGCTCTGTTCCTTGGGAAAAAACACACTATGTCCATCACTCAAAGGAATTATTTTCATATCTTCTGTCATTTTCGTTATTTTACCCACAGGGAACACATTGAAACTAAGAACACACTTGAATAGATTTACTGAAATATTACTTGTTTGTCTGTTTAACTACAACCTGGTTTTGTTCACCCTAATCAGTCTTAAGAGAAATAACCTGAGGGAACAGATGGCATAATAGTTACATCATTGGACTCCCATGTAGTCAACTGCTGTTCGAGTCCCAGATCCAGTGACTTAAACTCATGGCAGGTGCATATGTGCGTGTGCTCAAAATCCTGAGAGAAGAAGGGATTGCAGTGTGGCCATTCCTCCTGGGGGGTAATTTCTCACTTTCTGTCTCTCTCTGTTTCTCCAGTGAGTTCATGCACCCTATAGCAAAACTCTCTTTAAAAAACAAAACCAGCCATTACCCTAATGGTTAAGGGAGTTGGAACCCACATGTCTGACTACAATTCAAATTTCAACCCCAGTGTTTTGAAAACATGCTGGGCACATGTGTGAGCATGCTTCAGATCCCAACGGGATGGAGAAGTGGAGCAGGGTGGGACTGCAGTGTGACCATATTACCCTGGAGGAAGCTTTCTCCTCTCTCTCTCTCTGGCCAGCACAAATGCCCTCTGGGAATGAAAAAATAAGCAAACGACTACCTTCTAACTGTCTTATGTCCGGAGCGGTATGTCACAGGCCTGCTACCCCACCCCCATGTTTTGTTTTTGGCGGTGTTTTCGAATGATGGCCTGGCCTACGAAAGACAGACCTAGTATATTTGCCTGCAGAGGGCTGAGTGACATCAGGTTGGCTCCAGCTGCAGAAAGAGCCATTGGAGCTGTGTGGCTCTAGTCAGCCAATTAGAATCCTGGCAGTGGCACTCCTTATCTGCATAGAGGTCTACTTGAAGATTTGGGTGGGTGGGACAGCGGAATACTTCCTACTCCTGTGATGCAGGCCTCCCTGAGTATAACCGGCACGAGTGTGCCTGTGAATCTGGCAGGCTGAGGCTAAGGGCAGATCGTGTGGGCAGGATCTTGTCAGGGGTGCTGTCTCTCTCTCGCTGTCTCTCTACAGAATACACAAATAAATCTATTTTTAAAAGTTGAGATGAGAGGGAACCAGCAGGTGGCACAGTGGTTAAGGCGCTGGACACTCCCACATGAGCTGACCATGGTTCGCGGCCTGGACCTGGTGTCTTGCTTTCTCACTTTCTTTCTCTCTCTCTCTCTGGTCAAATTAAAATAAAATGAATGAATCAATAAAAGGAAATAAATAATTCTCTTTTTAAAAAGTTGAGGTGAGAGACCTTCCTCTCCAAAGACCCTCTGTTTTCTGTTAGGGGAGGCAGGTTTGAGTGTTACCTCTGTGCCATGCATCAAAACTTTCCATGTTCTCTTTTGCAGTCCTGGGGCTTTCAGTGTTCCGACTACGGTGTGCATCAGGTGAGGGACCCATTTGGGTTTGGTATCAAAATTATGCTTTCTTGGGACCAGTAGTTAGCGTAATGGCTATGTTGCTGGACTCCCATGTAGTCAACCATGGTTTGAGTCCCAGACCTGTGGTTTAAACTCACGCCAGGCACGAGTGCGCGCATGCCCAAGATCCCGAGAGGAGAATGGAGAAGGGATTGCAGTGTGACCATCCCCCCTGGGGAGTGATTTCTTGCTTTCTGTCTCTCTGTCTCTCTCTTTCTGGCGAGCATACACACCCTATAGCAAAAACCTCTCAAAAAAAAAAGTAAGCTCCTCTCTTAAAAGATTTGATACAAAAATCAAGAACATTCTAAAATAAAGCTTTTTTTCATCAGACTTTTTAAAAAAAATTATGCTTTCTTGACATCCTTGAAACCATGGTTATCGAAATCGAATCCACAGCTTAAAGGAAGATATGTTGGGGCCAACAGGTCGTGTGACAGTTAAGGTGCTGGATATGACTAACTGTGGTTTGGGTTCTGGATCTGGCAGATTGAAAATCACACTGGGTTCGTGTGTGCACATGCCCAAAATTCCAAGAGGAGGGTGGCGGAGAAGGGATTACAGATGGTCATCATCTCCCCCCTCCACCCACCCCCACGGTGATGTCTCACTTCATCTCTTTCCGGTGGGAGCACCCTATGGGGAGCCATCTTAAAAAAAAATGGATGTGTTCGGTGAGGTGAAATGATGTCCTTATGTTGTTTCTCAATGAATTTGACTTTGACTTTTGTTTTTGCTCATTAAAACTCCAGAACAACATGTTACTTAATTTTGCTGCCAGTAATGACCTTGAGGAATTTGTAACGCTGCACTATTTCTGTAAAGCACTGTCCTGTGTGTGTGAAGGCTGCCTCTCTCTCTTTTTTTTCCCATGTGTCAGCTTGTCAGTAAGGACCAGGTGGTGGATACATGTCAAGAAAACTAATCACCTTCTAACAGGATTTGGACTGGACTTAATGCGGATCCTGTTCCAGCTTTAGTAGCCCAAAGCCAACGGCTGCTCAGCGACTCTCTGGTTGGCCACTGCACCCCAGGCATGGCAGACTGTCTTCCGACCCCAGATATTTTGTTATGCTGGGTACCTTGGAGACAAAGCTCCGGTGTGTGATGAAAACTTCTGGCCAACCCAGCCCTGGACGCTCAGAAAGGCAGACGCATCTCCTATTTTCAAGGTGATGACACAGGGCTGGAATGTCGCGGAGCCACGTTCGTCCTGCCAGACAAGTTTCTGCTTCCGGACGCCTCGGATCCTCCGCCGCGCCGCGCCACGCCACGCCACGCCACGGCGCGTCCAGCT